ACCATTTCTGAGGTTATCTGAACACTCAGGAGCAGCAGGACTGATCCCCTCATTGAAGAAAGCCATGCAATGGATGGTTTCACCCATAAGCTTCCTCAGTGCGTCATGCATCGAGCTCTCATGCAGCGATAGTGGAATTTTGGAACTTCTACATATGTCTGTCCACTCAAGCAGTTATGGTTATAGGTTCTGAAAAGGTCTACCCACGGACTTACTTGAGTTGTGTGGCTCAGTCATCTATGTGCTCGCAAGCTTGTGCCAAATTACTGATATGTTATACGATCATCTTAATTTTTTGCTATGCGGTGCTGTTGACACCTTGGCTCAGCTAAAGTGTACACTATAGGGAAATAATTCTTACATGTGAGTGGCGTGTGGTGTAATCTTGTTCACAAAAAATAAGACAAAATTTTCTGTAAAGAGAACGCCAAGCACTAACTTGAAATATGCACGTGTTAGCAGTATCAGGTGCAGGTTCACAAGTCGGCTTCTCGTGCCTCAGGCCAGCTCAGACAACTTATTGCTCGCCCTGCGCCGTCGTCTGGACCGTCCCCTCACATCCCTCTTTCGAGGAATCGAAGGAGGATTAGAAAGAAAGTTAAGTAGAGAAGATAAATAAAGTTAGCCTCCTTTACAATTTTGGCAGGAACCGGAAGGGATAGAGGAAAGCATATTCCTAGTAAATGTTATTGGAATGGATGAATGCAGCGATTTTTGAGCGCTCTACGGATTGCCTTAATTGGAGCACTCACGATGACTATGCTTTTACTGCTACAAATATATGTGAAATTGTCAATATTTTGGACAATCATCTTACGTACTACCAGCTTGGCTGACGCGCACTACTGCGCGCATGGTTGAATCTATGGTAATGGTACTGATCGCTGACAGGATTTCTGTACTGACCCCAAACACTTGGCCCAATTGTCATTTTTTGAGATACGACCCATTTCATTATATTTCTCCTGTTTAATGAACATTTTCTAATGTCTGGTGCTTATCACATTTCTAAAAAAACATTCACCATTCGTTGGAAATAGGACAGCTTAGCGGTTGAAAGAGTTTCGATGGTAATAACATGGACATCATAGTGAAATATCCTCACATCGCAGTACTTTCGTTAAGCAGCTTTAGGACTTTTGATTTTTGTCGAAACTCGAGAGTTTAGCGGTAGCATCAGTCCCAACCATATCGGCTATTTAGATAGATGCATAGTACTTCTTCAGTTTATCCATTGAGCTCCAAGATGAACTTCGCACCCTCTACCTAGACTCAAATTTCGTAACTGTTTACGAGACACGGCGTAGCTCCCTATCTCGGGATAACCGTAGGGAGTATACCAAATTGTTGGTACCATCGGCATTAGTTTATTCTGTGATTCCTCATCACTAAGGGGAGTGCCGCATAGAAAATTTTGATGACTGTCTTCTAGGGGGGGGGGGGTAACAAGAAGTGGAAGCCGGGCGATCCGACTGGTTTCAAATAAAGTTTGTGAAGTATATGACTCATATCATAAAATAGTTCAACTGTCATTAGTCTACAGATTACCGCTAATACATATTGGGAGTCTTGATACACGCTGTGTAAAGATATGAAGGTATGAATAGATACTTATGTACTAACTGCAATGATAAACACAATAATAATGAGATCGGCAGCAAAATAAGATATTCTTCTCTCTTGCTAACAAGCGCTCAGGAGGTTGAGTCTTCTTCGTCGGATGGTGGGGCGCGTCAGGGGGTGAGCTAGCGGCTCTAGCTGGCTCTTGTTTCTTTTCTATCGGAAGGCTGTATCAAATCGTTCGTGGCAGTTCCCACTAGTTGCTGTCACTTACACGTTTCAGGACTAGGTGGAAGTGGAGACAGTTGAAGGCTGGCTTTAAAACCCGGCTTACTGACATGTCCCATAATCTGCAGCGAACAAAGCTCCGCCATCTTCAGCGAATAAGCCTGCGTAACAGGAGAGGTACTGGAGGAGGAATGCATGGTGCATGCCATGACTAATTGCGCATTACCTCACTTTAACCTCAGACAGAGGACGTGTTCTGCGTACAGTTCATAGGTTGCATCGGAAACGCAATTGAAACGCATATAGCTACTGATGGTCACCAAGTTTGCTATTTTGATAGACACTATGAAGGGAGTTGCAGATATTCCAAAAAGAAGATTTATTGTGCTTAGTAGATCATTTGCGGGATAATAGCTTTTGGGAGCACTGTACCAAAGTAAAAAAGTTGCTTCCACAATCAGTAGATTATATGTTGGATAATAGCTTTTGGGAGCACCGCACCGAGGTGAAAAAAGTTTCTTCCACAATCCCCTGTCAGATACCTGATGGGACAAAATAAGGCAGTGCTGGTAAATGTTATTGGGAGAGATATTTGAGTTCTATGGATTGAATCAATTGAAGCTCTCGCAATGACCGTGCTTTTGATACAAATGTATGGATAGTTATTTCAATATTTTGAACAATTCCCATGTACCACAGAGTGTCACACCCCACAAAGCGGGTACAATGATTTATTGTACTTGGTAGTTATCTGATGGATAATAGCTTTTAGGCAGCGCTGTACTAAGATGAAGAAACGCTTACACAATCCCTCATCAGGAATCAGATGGGACAGAAGAACGCAGAGTGCTGGATGTTATTGGAATATAGATGAATGCAGCTCTGCGGATCGCCTTAATTGGAGCTTCCACAATGGCTGTGGTTTCATTGGTGCAAATATATGTAAAATTAGCAATATTATGAACAATTCTCATGCACTCTACTGTGTATACTATGTACCGTACAGTACTGCACACCCCCCAAGCGAGTTCAGTGACTTGCCATGTATGGCTTCATTTCCCTACGTGGTATGGTAGTGTTGTTGAAATATTTCTGTGGTTGTCGTCCAACAATTCCTCACGTCCCAACGTGTGTCTCTGCCCCTCTCTCGATAACTAGACATTGATGATATTGACCCGTTGAGATTTGATCATCTTACTGCGGGTTTGTACGTCTGCCTTTCTGTTTGGTCGTGATGTGGTTACGTTCGTCAACTGCGGCACTGACGATTAGAAAAGTAAGAAAAGTACATATCGATCAGACTTAGTGACCTGAAGGACGATTTCTGCACCTGCCCTGAGAAGAACAGATACGTATCAAATCGGCATCGAAGGCAACAATGTGAGCATCAACGCTGTGTGAGGATAGCAATGAGAGCTCATTCTCACATAAGCGTGATTTGGAGAGCTTACAAGTGGCATCTCGCATGTCGGCACATTATGTAGATTAATGTAGAATTGCTGTGAAGTATCAAGTTAGTTAGCTATGAAATATAGACGAGTTTGTGAAGGTCCCACAACATGGAGGAACTTCTCAGTTTCATGGACTATGAACGTGCGACCTTCTTAATCTGTCCTTTAGTGCTTAATCCGCTGAAAGGTCGTTGTTGTTGCGGGAATGTGGTGATCAGATTATGTTTCGAGCGGTCACGAAGCTCTCTGCCTGAATTTGCGTGTCCTGCTCGTCAACTAAAAGTAGAAAAAAAGATATACAACGATCTTCCACACTGTTGACCAACTAATTACACAGTGTTCTAGATTCATTATCATCGGACTAATTGTAGCGTGTTGCAATGTAGTGTGTGACGTCAGGGTATATTTCAGGTGTAGACAGAGGTAGAGTAGCAGGTGAACTGCCTCCGTAAGTTATTGCATAGACTTGCAGCCATGGTTCCCAAACTGCGTAACGCATCTTGATATTTGACTGAAATGTTTCGAAAATTGAACTGCCGAACTTCCTCCCTCTAGTTCGCGGAGCGGTTTCGCTTCCCCAGACTGAAAAAAAACACTTACTGATTTTTTTTCAGAAAAGCAGAGCGCCGGCACATGCGTCACTACCGTTTTACTTCAGTGAGAATATACTAGCCACATACAACATCAGAAGCTCACCCTACGACTGTGGCGTATATCCACTTTATCTGCGACACGATCAACACTGCAATACAACGAAGCATTGTAAGAGCACAGTTAGAGGATATTGCACAGTTAATTGATGTTCTGGCAGCAACAGCCAGCAACAGCTGAATTGAAACATGTCAAGACGAGCACTGAACATCAAGAAGTGGGGTCATTCATCTCTACGTCGTCACTGATTTTGCAAAATCGTGTGTGATCTATCGCGAAAAATAGAAGGCCGTGCATGTGGATCAACATAAATCGTAGTGGAGAAGACCGCTAGGTATACGAATTAGGGACAACCTCTCAGGGATAGTAGGTTGACGGCCGCGAATGTCAGGTACAGAACTGATGAGAGTAATGGCAAGAGCTTACGAATGGTGTGTCCAGTACTGGAGCAGTACACGGAACTTCTAGCAGGAGAAGCGTCGGAGGTTGATGTTTGTGAGGAATCCTGAAAAAGATAACCGGACTTATTGTCCGTGAGCACGGACAATGTGTTGCAGTAGAACCCATACTGCCAGTCAGAATTAGCCTATGATACGTGCGCCTCCTCCTCTTTTTTGGACCTATAAGGAGAATTACTGTTCGGTACAGACTAGCATCCCTTTCGACAGCGCCATAACGGTGGAATATGTGAATACTCTTTCTGGCGATGTAGGACTTTCTGTTGAGTAAGGAGCGTACCATCCGAACTGCTAGATTGGACTAGGCGTTTGACAGGGATGAGTTTTTTGTCCCGTATCAGGGAACCTATTGAAGGAAGACGACTATTGAAAGGCTGAAATAAATGCTAGAATAAATTATTCAATCTAAAAAAACCTCGATAGCAACAAGCAATATTAGCAAAGATCAACAACGAACGATCACCAACAGATAGAAAATAAGGGAAGCAATGAAATGTATTTCATCAAAGCAGGCACCGCTCTCGATTAGCGCCAAATCAGTTGGAGCACAAACCGTTTTACTGACATCAATTTTAATGGTTTTTTTTGTGTTCATTCATCCAACGGAAAAAATTATTATTTAGGCAATACCCGCCTCTGAATACCACTACGAATGCAGAAGAATCCTCTTTCTTCTGTGATTGAAACTGCAAATGGTCCGCTTTTCGTTGACCCCAGTACCGACCTTATTCCTGACGGTTTGTGACTGCCTTTGATAACAGCAATTCACAAATCACATTCCGCGATGTTTTTCAAGAAACGGTGGGTGATTTGTTTCCATACAAGGGTCTTTGGGACCGCCAGTGTGGACTCTTCAGTGAAAAAAGAAGCTAGCGAAACAGCAGAGAACCCCCGAAGAGGGGTTATTTTTTTCACCACTGTTTGTACAAGTTCTCCACTGCTGGCTCCATGCTTACATGCCGACAACGATGCTATTTTCGTTCATCTTGTTGAAGCTCCCTACCAAAAGGATGATGCGGTTAGGGGAGGTGCTGGAGGCAGAACAAGCTTCTTCACACATATCACAAACCCTTAGCGTCCCCCCCCGCGCTGCCTAGTGACAAAATACTTGCTCAAGCAACTGCTCACTGCACACTTTATTCATGAAAAGATTTCCACCTCTCAGCGCGTAGAGTGCCTCTGAATTTTGGAACCACTGCCTCAAAAATTGGTACATCTGGAGCAGTTGCTTTATTAGGAGACGTAAGAATAATGTGTTGGACGAATATCATTCGCTTTGTAGTACTGGTGTTCATCGTGTTGACCCTCATTTTCTGCGCTATCAGGTTCTCGTCTCCTCTTCTCACTTACAGGATTTCTGATGGCCTTGTGAGTCTCAGATAGTGATCTACGTAGGTTTCTGGTGCATTTAAATTCAAACTCTAGCCCTACGTGCAGATCAGGCTTATTGTACTTTCCCCATTGGTGCACCAACTTTCTTTGCCGTTAAATACGGAGCAGCGGATGCATTAATTACAAAAGTACAATGATGTTCCTGACCCCCTCAT